AGGATTTGCTGTGCGAAGTGCAAGCGGCTAAAAACAGGTTCACTCACAGAGGTGGTTTTTCGCCATATCAAATGGTGTTTGGAGAGAACCCCCGTCTCCCACATGCTCTCCTCTCCGACGATGCCATAGATGATATAGGGGTCCAGGATCTGGCCAGGGGAACGAGAGACGGGTCTTCACCAGCCTCAGCCTTTGCCCGCAAGCATCTTTTGCGAGAGGAGGCTCGCAAAGCAATTATGTCATTAGATGTTAGAGAGCGTCTCAAGGCGGCCAGCCACTCGAGAAAGCATGCCGACAAGGTTTTCGTGCCAGGATCCTGGGTTTACGTTTGGCGAAGGCCGAGTCCCGGGTCCGGAGAAGGATCCAGGGCCCGGTGGACAGGACCAGGAGCCACCGTTTTCCAACAAGGAACCACGGTTTGGGTTGCGATGAGGACTCGACTTTTGAAGTGTTCTGTGGAGCAAGTGAGGTTGGCCGCCAGGGATGAGGCCGACGGGGCTGAGCTTCTCGACTGCTCAGAGCTGGCCAATTTAAGAGACGAGCTTCAGCGCCCGAACGGCAGGGTCGGAGCCGTCGACGTGGAGGGAGAGGGTCCTCCACCCCCCGAGGCCTGGGACGTCACGGCCGACGTCGCGAGACCCGTTTCCGAACTGCCGCTGGCGACGGCGGAGCCTTTCGCCCAGTCCTCTCCTCCTGCAGCGCCCGAGGGGACGTTGCCTCAGGGAGACGCGGCCGTTTCTACTGCTCCATCTCCTGCCCACCCTCCCTCTTCTCTCAGATCCATACCGTCTGTGTCCTCTCTTCCTCCACCTGTTTCAGAGCCGGAGGGGGCCTCCAGGGACGAGGGACCTCGAGCGAGGCCAGCATCTCTTCTTCCCAGTGAGCCAGGAAGTGAGCCGGCGTCGTCAAGACCCAAGCTGACTCCGTCGGAAGAGCTGCCGAGTCAGGCCGGGCGCGTCCTGTCAGCCGTACGAGAGATAGAGGGAGGGAGGAATCGATCTTTTGACGACGTCCCACACTGTATCTTAAGGAGGGCTGCGAGTAGTTCCTCGGCCGTACCACCGAGTCAGGAGCCCCCCGGTCTCGAGAGGGGGAGATCCAGATCTCCACCGAGGGAGGCTCCAGAGTCGGAGGGACAGCCTGAGGACGACCCAGACCTCAGCACCTGGTGCTCTCTTCAGCCCGACGAGGCCCAAGACGAAATTTTGTGGGAAGAGCTCTGCGGATGGTATCACTGGGACCCCGAGGCCTCCGGAGAGAGCTATCCTAACTACCCTCGTCCTCCTCCCAAGTCGTCGCCGTCCGATCCTCCTCCCGCCCGCCGAGGAGCCGAAGTCAACCTGAAGGATCTTAGCGAGGAGGAGAGGAGGCTGTTTTCTTTTTCGGATACTAAGGAGTGGACCAGCATCCTGCAGTCGGGGGCTGTCCGAGTCGTGTCGGCCCAAGAGGCCCAGATCATTCGGAGACGCCACCCGGATCGCATTCTCGGATCAAGAATGGTCAGGAGATTCAAGCCCCAAGAGGGCGTCGGGGCGGCCCCAGAGGCCAAATCAAGATGGTGCGTCCAAGGGCACCATGACCCGGACGCCGCGGATCTGCAGATATATGCACCGACGCCGCAGGCCGAGAGTCTAATGTTGACCCTTCAAGCCATAGCGTCGCTCAGGTGGACACTCGAGGTGGCGGACGCAAAGAACGCGTTTTGCCAGAGTGATCGTTTAAAGAGGCCGTCTGGAGCTATCTTCTGTGAACCGTGTCACGGGTTGGATCTCGCCCCGGGGGAACTCGTGGAGTTGGTCGCGCCGGTCTACGGTCTCAATGACGCCCCTCTTTTGTGGCACAGGACCCTCACGGATTTTCTCGTCTCGGACGGCTTCGAGAAATCACTTCTGGAACCCTGTCTTTGGGTGAAGCGTAGTGCGACGGGGTCCCCTCTCTCGATCATCCTCATAGAGGTGGATGATTTGATTCTGGCGTCCGATCCTTCCGAGCGAGAGGGACTCCGCTCGAGACTGACGGGCCGTTTTAAGTTTGGAAAGTGGAAGGTCGGAGAGTCCGATTTTGCTGGCCGTCACTTGAGGCAGGTCTCAGGCGGAAAAATTCTCGTTGATCAGGAGAAATACATTCTCGAGCAGTTGAAGGCCATGAGACTTGATAAGAGTCGCAAAGGCGACTTGCAGGCTCCGTTAACTAGTGACGAGATCAAGGGTTACAGAACCATGATCGCGCAGATTCAGTGGCTGGCAAGGGAAACTCGACCCGACGTGGCGGGAGGGGCTTCTCTTCAGTCTGCGGCGCTCCCGACTCCCACCGTCGAGGACGCCTTGCTGTGTTGTAAGATCGTTCGGCACCTCAAGTCTAGCGCCTCACAGCATATAGTGATCTGGCCGATCGATCCTCTCACGGTTACGTTTGCCACGATTTCTGACGCCGGGGGGCCAGGATCCGCCCGTCGAGAGGGGGCTCAGGGGGCTTTTCTCGTCGTCGCGGCGGACGCAGAGATCAGAGGGAATAAGAGAGCTCGAGCTTCGCTTCTCGCCTGGCGATCAAACCGTCTCAAGAGAGTCGTCTCATCCACCAGTGCCGCAGAGACCCTGAGTCTCTCGTCGGCGCTCGCGGAGGCGCAGTGGATACAGATTTTGTGGCGTGATTTGTTGTTCGGTGACGTGAGAAAGCCCGATTGGCATCTTGGTCAGTCTCCTTTTTCGGTCATCCTCAGCTCTCATTGCTCTCTGGCAGAGAGCGCGTCCACGATATCGGTAGTTGACGCGAAGTGCGTCTTTGATACTCTCAGTAGGAACAGTGCTGGCTCGAGACAAGATAGACGAAGCGCTATCGAACTTGCCGTGGTGAGAGACGCGATGAGTTCCCTCGGATCCCAAATACGATGGGTCCCCCACGGCCGCATGGCGGCCGACAGTTTAACTAAGGCCGACCCCTCAAAAGGCAACCTCGCGTTAGCTGATTTGCTTTGCCGCGGAACAATCTGTCTAGTGGATGAAGATAACCACCTCTCGGAACGTGCGCTGAACTCGTCCCTGAAGGATCGCTCGCGACAAGCTTCCAGGAGGGAACTGGCCCGAGAGGCCGAGAGCAGGATTCAAGAGTGTGTGACTGGCTTCGGGGGTACCGAGAGTTCGCCCGTGAAAGGGAAGGCATCCCAATCCTTGTCTGTCCCACTAAAAGTGGTCCCGCTGTCGTGTTTCTCCACCCCACCCCCAATGCTCTTTGGTACAGATAGGATTGCTGATGGGTTTGCCACAGCCATTTTGGCTTAGATGCGTGCACGCACGAGGAGCGTGCGTACTGCCCGGGACCTCCGGGGCCGACTGAAAAGATCTCTCTGCATCCCATGTATCCTTGTCGCTCTCATGTCTTCTGACAGCACAATGCAGAACATCGCAATTCAGCCCCTAGCACAGTGTCATCGCCATGCATATCTTCAGCATTGCCACTACCCGTCGCCCATCGCCGAGTGTACTTCACGAAGGATCGTGACCATCGGGCACGTTCCCTGGCACATTCCCTGGCGCCTCCCCTGGACACGTTGCGCGGCGCGTCACCTGGCACGTCCCCTGGCAAGTTCCCTGGCACGTCCGCTTGCACGTTCCGTGGCGCGTCCCCCTGGCACGTTCTGTGGAGCGTCCTGTGGCGCGTCCCCCAGGCATATCGCGCGGCGAGTCCCCTGGCACGTCCACTGGCACGTTCCGTGGCGCGTCCCCTGGCATGTCACTGCGCGGCGCGGCACAGCGCAGAGAAGCACAACACAGCTCCATGGCACAGTAGCATCACCATTGATATCTCTCGCATTGCCACTGCTTATCGCCCAACTGAGGTGATTGGAACGTACCCAGGCCTCGCAGTTCAACATCCTTTTCAGGGTTCGTGGGACGATCATTTGTTCACCCGCAACGTGCTCGGCGTAATAGTGTGGGAACGCCTCTGACGATCGGTTAGGCGATGCCGACAGCCGCCATCACGCACGAGTGACTCTGGGCAGGAGTTACCTCTGGTGTGCGGCTTCCAGGGACCGCAAGGGGCTACAGTGGAGGCCAGTCCACAAGAAACCTTCCACAACAAACCCGACCCTGAGACCCCAAGACGTCCATTGATGCTTGGTGTGTGAACGTCACGCTTTCCATAGCAAAACCATCGAAACCCAAGAAGCCCAGGGCACCCTGGAGGCAGGCAGGGTGTCTCTTGGCATGGGCCCCCACTGTAGATTCGAGCGCGCAGGCCGATGCTGGGTCCACGCTGGCGGGCCCGCACCAAAAGGTCACTCCGGCGAGAGGCCACCCCTGCGAGTCTGGCCGATGGCAGGCGGCGGGCGCGCACCTGCACCGCTCAGCGCGGCGGGTGCGGCAGCGGCGCCCCCCTGGCCGCAACTCGAGGAAGAACTCACACAAACACAGAAAGTTTCGGAGCTCCGCGCGGATGTCTTTGAAGGGGCCGCGGGACACACAAATAAATACACACAATAAAAATATTCCCCATAGTTCCCCATATTTTCTGGGTTGTTTGTCTTCCCCCCCACTTCCAGACTTTCCCATACTTTCTGGGGAATCGACGATTAATTGTGTCTGTGTGTTTTTTCCTCTCCTGAGTCTTGGGTTGGCCCCGACCCCCCCCATCCCCCCTCCCTGGCGCGCGGAGCGCGCCAGGGGCCCAGGCGCCGACCCGCGAAGTCCTCGCGGACCGGCGAGGGTTCATGTTCTTGCCGCTGTCTTGTGCTTCGAGCAGCGCGCGAGGCGCCCGCGGCGGGCGCTGCCAGGCGGGGGCGCAACGGGGAGCTGCAGGGAGCCATGAGCATCGCTTAACCGATCCCTATCCCCAGATGCGTGGCCTGGGCCCCACTGGCCGATTTACCCCTCTGGATGGGGTTATAGGCCGTTCCCTGTGGGCTTCGAAAGGATATCCAAAACTGGGGTGATGATGGGGATGGGGACGGGGATGGGGATGGGGATGGGGATCGGTTAAACGCCACTGAAGCCAAGCGACGCCTGCCCGCCGATGGACACGATGCAGTCGCCGGGGGCGAGGTCCGGCTGGCCAGGCTCCTCGTCAACCTGTGGGCGGGGCCTCCTCCACCGCGCCCTCATACTCCTGATGCTGCTGCTACAGCTGCTCCTCCTACTCCTCCTCCTCCTCCTCCTCCTCCTCCTCCTCCTCCTCCTCCTCCTCCTCCTCCTCCTCCTCCTCCTCCTCGTCCTCCTCCTGCTCCACCTCCTCCTCCTCCTCCTCCTCCACCTCCTCCTCCTCCTTCTTCTCCATCCCTCTTCCTGATAAATAACTCCTCCCTGTCGCACCCCGAAACGGGTCGGTAGGGCGGGCCGGGCGTTTCGACTGAGACGTCCTCACTATTCATGATCCTGAAGCATAAATCTCGCAAAAGTCTTACGGATGAAGGGCGGGTCGTCTCCAAAATTTGACTCTCACCGTACGTAGCGCCGCGCATACTCGATTTAAAAAATTGCAGGAGTTTCACGCATGGAGGGCGGGCCGTTTTCAAAATGTGGCTCTCGATTTAGCGCCGCGCAAATTCGTCTTGAAAGTTTGCAAGAGTTTCACGGGTAGGCGGTGCGTCGTTGTCTAAATGTGGCTCTCGCCATAGCGCCGTGCACATTCGTCGTATCAGTGCACAGCAAGTTCAAGGATTATGATGGCTGGCGTCCCAGAAATTGTTCTGGTATGATGTATGGTTGTCACGGCGCGACAGTCACGTTGATTTGCGGTGTTGAAGTCTCAGGCATAGTTTTTTGACGCGACTCTGGATCGTCACGACGTAAGTAACAGTAACGTTGATTCGCGGCGTTGAGGTTCCAGGAAAGGTACTTCGGCATGGTTGGAGATTTTCAAACGGTTATCTTCCAACGGGGCACTCCCCGCAGTAAAACCGAGTCCTTGTAGGAACCTGTGAAGAGGAACTTGGAGGGAAGGTTCATTGCAACATCGCTGATGAATCTTAGGAATGCACTGGTCCTCCTCCTCCTCCTCCTCCTCCTCCTCTTCCTCCTCCTGCTCCTCCTGCTCCTTCCAGACGCAGCCATACGGTATGGTCCAGTCAACACCGCCTACCGTTAGGTGGGGCGTGTCCCCCTACAGGCGGATTTTGGACGGACAATAAAAGAAGCCCTACATGGGGCTAGGCCTCCTCCTCCTCCTGTTCCTTGTCCTGTTCCTCCACCTTCGTCCCTTCCCTACCTATTCCTCCACCACCACATCGTACTCCTCGTCCTCCTGCTCTTCCTCCAAATCCTACACCAGTTCGGGCAAGACCAGGCGGACGAAAACGTTTCGCCATTCGGGGCTGGGGGGCGTCTTCGGAGTGGGGGGCACCCACGGCCAAACTGAGACATCTGGGGGCCACGGAATGAAAAAGTGATCCGTGGGAGGTCTGAATCCTCCTCCTCTTCCTCCTCCAAATCATCATCATCAGCAGCATCATCATCATCAGCAGCATCATCAGCATCATCATCGTCATCAACTTCATCAGCAGCAGCATCGTTATCATCATTATCATCATCATTGTCATCACCAGCATCCGCATCACCATCATCGTCATCATCGTCATCAGCAGCAGCATCATCATCGTCCGCAGCAGCAGCAGCAGCATCATAGTCATCAGCATCATCGAAAGTAGAAGCAGCATCAGCTTCATCATCATGCTCCCTCTCATCCTCCGCCTTCTCCTCCTCCTTCTCCTCATCCTCATCATCATCGTCATCATCATCATCATCATCATCATCATCATCATCATCATCGTCATCAGCATCATCATGAGCAGCAGCAGCATCGTCATCATCATTATCATCATCAGCAGCAGCATCGTCACCATCACCCCCAACAATTACAACGACGACGACGACAACGACGAAGACAACGACGACAACAACAACAGCAACAACAACAACAACAATCAGTTTAAAACTGTTCGCTCCTATATGCTAACGTGCCAATCAATACGTTTATTTCAAACCCTCGGTGCCCGCCCTCGTCGTCGGCGATCGTACCCCCTTGGATGTATATCTTCCTTACCTGCCACGTGCATTTAGTGCAGCCCGTAAAACAAGGCAAGAGAGGACGGGTGGAAGGGGGAGAGAGAGAAAAATAGTGTGGTAGAACCAGACGGGCAGATCGGGTGGGCAGACCCAGCAGGCGGGTTGCTGAAGCGTGGGTACTGCATGAATCGCGAGGAAGTCTCAAGCGATAGCACTATTCCCAAGTAAATCGCGATAAAAGCCAAAGCGAGCGCGTGATTCCTGAGCGCCGAGGGCGCATCGTCTGAATAAATTGCTAGGAAAACCCACGCGAGAGCGCGATGCGTACATGAATTGTGAGGAAGTCCCGCGCGAGAGCGCGATTTGTAATAAATTGTGACAAAGCATCAAGCTGTAACCGCTGTTGTTGTAAACCTGGGGCCAGGGGCCCAGTTTAATCCTAGAAACTTTCCATGGTAAAAAACAGGGTGCGAGCCCTAGTGGAAGCACTTCAATTGAAAAAAACAATGGTCACCAGAGGGGGGATCATCAATACTTACCCTTCAGTAACGAAAGTTCAATAACAACAACAACAACAACAACAACAACAACAGCTACAGCTACAGCTACAGCTACAGCAACAACTACAACTACATCTATATCTACATCAGCAACAACAACAACAACGACAACAACAACAAGAACGAGGCGCAGTTGACCGGCCCGTCCAGTGGGGAGCTCCACAGCGCCTCCTCCCCTAGGGACAAGGCCGACTTGACCGGCCCGGGGGCAACCGCGGGACCCCAGCAACCCCAGCAACCCCAGCAACCCCAGCAACCCCCAGCAACCCCGAAAGCTTACCTCCACAGACCAAGCTCTCAACGCTACGTCCTCCATGCGGATTCTGACAGCACGACGCGTGTGCGCACCGGTGCAGCGAGCTCTTGAGGAATCCTATAGGATCCTCGAGAAATCCTATAGGATCCTATAGGAAATCCTATAGGATCCCTTAGGAATACTATAGGATTCCTTAGGAATCCTATAGGAATCCTATAGGTTCCTTAGGAATCCTATAGGAATCCTATAGGATCCCTTTGGAATCCTATGGGATTCCTTAGGAATCCTATAGGAATCCTATGGGATTCCTTAGGAATCCTATGGGATTCCTTAGGAATCCTATGGGATTCCTTAGGAATCCTATAGGAATCCTATGGGATTCCTTAGGAATCCTATAGGAATCCTATAGGATCCCTTAGGAATCCTATGGGATCCCTTAGGAATCCTAAAGGATCCCTTAGGAATCCTATAGGATTCCTTAGGAACCCTGTGGGATCCCTTAGGAATCCTATGGAATCCCTTAGGAATCCTATAGGATCCCTTAGGAATCCTATAGGATTCCTTAGGAACCCTGTGGGATCCCTTCGGAATCCTATAGGATCCCTTAGGAATCCCATAGAGGAGCTCTATGAGCTCTATGAGGAGCTCTGCTAGGATCCTATAAGATCCTATAGGATCTATAGGATCCTCTAGAAATCCTATGAAATCCCATAGGAAATCCTATAGGATCCTATAGAAATCCTATAGGATCCTATAGGAAATCTATGAAATCCTATAGGATCCTCTAGAAATCCTATAGGACCCTATAGGATCCTATAGGACCCTATAGGATCCTATAAGATCCCTTAGGAATACTATAGGATTCCTTAGGAATCCTATAGGAATCCTATAGGATCCCTTAGGAATCCTATGGGATCCCTTAGGAATTCTATAGGATCCCTTAGAAATCCTATGGGATCCCTTAGGAATCCTATGGGATCCCTTTGGAATCCTATAGGATCCCTTAAGAATCCTATGGCATCCCTTAGGAATCCTATAGGATCCCTGAGGAATCCTATGGGATCCCTTAGGAATCCTATAGAATCCCTTAGGAATCCTATGGGATACCTTAGGAATCCTATGGGATCCCTTAGGAATCCTATAGGATCCCTTAGGAATCCTATGGGATCCCTTAGGAATCCTGTGGGATCCCTTAAGGATCCGATGGGATCCCTTAGGAATCCTATGGGATCCCTTAGGAATACTATAGGATTCATTAAGAACCCTAGAGGATCCTATGGGATCCCTGAGGAATCCCTTAGGAATCCTATTGGATCCCTTAGGAATCCTATAGGAATCCTATGGGATCCCTTAGGAATCCTATAGGAATCTTATAGGATCCCTTAGGAATCCTATGGGATCCCTTAGGAATCCTATGGGATCCCTTAGGAATCCGATGGGATCCCTTAGGAATCCTATAGGATCCCTTAGGAATCCTATAGGATTCCTTAGGAACCCTGTGGGATCCCTTCGGAATCCTATAGGATCCCTTAGGAATCCCATAGAGGAGCTCTATGAGCTCTATGAGGAGCTCTGCTAGGAGCTCTATTAGGAGCTCTGTTAGGAGCTCTACTACGAGCTCTACTACGAGCTCTATTAGGAGCTCTACTACGAGCTCTAATACGAGCTCTACCACGAGCTCTAATACGAGCTCTATTAAGAGCTCTACTACGAGCCCTACTACGAGCTCTACTACGAGATCTACTACGAGCCCTACGAGGAGCTCTACTTCGAGTTCTACCACGAGCTCTACCACGAGCTCTACTACGAGCTCTACCACGAGCTCTACTACGAGCTCTATTAGGAGCTCCGTTTGGAGCTCTGTTAAGAGCCCTGTTAGGAGCTCTACCAGGAGCTCGCTTAGGAGCTCTACTACGAGCTCTACTACGAGCTCCATGAGGAGTTAATCTGCGAGCTCTACCAGGAGCTCTACTGGTAGCTCGATTAGGAGGTCTACTATGAGCTCTACTACGTGCTCTATTAGGAGCTCTAGTGTGAGCGAGGTCTGCCAAAATCTCTACTGCGAGCTCTACTAGGGGCTCTACCACGAGCTCTACTAGGAGCTCTACTACGAGCTCTGTTAGGAGCTCGATTAGGAGCTCCATTAGGGCTACTACTACTACGGTTACTACTACTACTACTACTACTACTACTACTACTACTACTACTACTACTACTACTACGACTACTACTACTACTACTACTACTACTACTACTACTACTATACCACTACTACGATTCCGAATACTATTATCACTACCATTCTTATTACTACTACTACTACTACTACTATACTACTACTACTCTAATAGTACTACTACCTACTACTAATTAATTACGAATACTACTACTACTACTAGTACTACTACTAACTACTACTACTACTACTACTATTACTACTACTACTACTACTAACTACTACTACTTCTTACTACTACAATACTACTACTACAACGACTTACTACTACCACCACCACTTACTTACTCCTACTACTACTACTTCTATACTAACAACAACTTACTACTACTACTACTACTACTACTACTGAACCACTACTACCACTACCACTTACCCTACCACTACATTTCAAAACTTACTACTTTATACTTACTTACTACGACATTACGACTACTACTACTACTACTACTGCTACTTCTACTACTACTACTATTACGACTACTACTACCACTACACTACTACTACTACTACTACTACTACTACTACTACTACTACTACTACTACTACTACTACTACTACTACTACCACTACTACTACTACTACTACTTCTACTCCGACTACTACTACTACGTGTGTGGACGCACGCGATTGCGAAGCGTGCGCATGTCCGCGCATTGCTTGCGATGTTGCACCAGCGTGCGCGGCGCGGGCACCAGAGCCCCGCTACCAACGCGACGGGCACCAGCCCACCGCTACGACTACCAGCTCCGCTACCAGCGCGACGGGCACCGCTACCACCAACAATGCAACAAGTTTGGCGGGGGCAACAGAGCTCCGCTACCAGCACGACGGGCAACTACACCCGAGCCATTCGCGCAATACGGCGCGTTTCTGCATCAAGCCAAAATGGCAACCTCCTCCTCTCCTCCTCTCCTCTCCTCCTCTCCTCCTCTCCTCCTCTCCTCCTCCTTTCCTCTCCTCTCTCCTCCTCTCCTCGCCTCCTCCTTCTCCTCCTCCTCTCCTCCTCTTTCCTCCTCTCCTCCTCTCCTCCTCTCTCCTCCTCTCTCCTCCTCTGTCCTCCTCCTGTCCCCCTCTCCCGTCCTCCGCCGCCGCGGGCGCATCTTCGAACCAACGTGGGCCTGCGGGGGCCTGGAGGGTCCTCCCGAGGTTTCCTGGGGCCTCCTGGGGCCTCCGGGGGCCACGGGGGGCCTCCGGGGCCGCCACGGGTCTTCGGGTGTTGGGGCAGCAGGCGGGGGTCCCACCGTACCCCGCTCCCTGTAACTGCTGCCCCTTGGTTTCCTTCGCAGGGGCTGGGGGTGGCGTCGCCTGCGCCTGCTGGGAGGGCGGCGTCGCTCGCGGGCCTCGTCGCCGCTCTCTCTCCCGCAAGACGCGTGCGGCGCGCGGAAAGGAGCCGCGCCTCCTCGGGGGTCTGCCGCGCCCGACGGCGGGGGGCGGCGGCGGCGGGGGCGCGGCGGCGGCGACGACGACGGCGGCGGAAGCGACGACGCCGGCGGAAAACCCGCGCGAGCAACCACGGGCAATAACTGTAGCGCGGGCGAATATCCGACGCAACAGCAGACACAGAGCGCTACATTCCAAGTCTCCGACACGCACTGTTCGCTCCAACGGCGAGTCACCAGGCCAATGTAGCCGAAAAGGGGCACCAGAGAGAATGGCTCGAAAACCGCCGCGCGCTCGTCGTGCACGCAACGACACCGAAAGTATGATCACAAAAGGTGCGTTCACTCCTGGTATGAATTGGTCACGATGGGAACGCCATCGGATGCCTCCGGAGCGCCCTGCCGAAGGCTGCCTCGTCTAGAATGGCGGGTTCACGGAGGCTGTCTACGTGCCACACGCGGTCGTTGTGCTTGAGAATCCGCCACCAGGCCTCCAGAAATGTTGAGGCGGAAAACCCCCACTCGACCTCCCCCTCTCTCCACTCCTCACCCTCCTCCTCCTCATCCTTCCTCTCCCTCCTACCTCCTCCTCCCCCTCCTCCTCTCCTTCCTCCTCCTCCTCCTCCTCCTCCTCCCTCCTCGTCCTCGTTCCTCCCTCCTCCCTCCTTCTCCTCTTCCCCCTCTCCTCCTCCTCCTCCTCCTCCCCCTCCTCCCACTCGTCCTCGTACGCCCACACATGCGGACGAGTAGGCCCATCATACCCAGCATTGCGCCGGCACGGCGGCGGGATTCGCCGAAGGCACCTGGATAGCCGACCAATGGACGTTGTTGCGGTTCACCAGCGCCCCCAACATGTCGTCGCTGCTCGTGCATGCCTGCCACGAAGACGGCAAGAGAGGCCGCAACAACATTCGCCACGACGGAGGGACGACGGAATCCAGAACAGTCGCCTGCACGGAGTGGGAGTACCATCCTCCATCGCTCACGTGAAGGTCGGGGGGATCATCTGTCTGAGCCACCACAATGCCGCGTGCCACCTCCAAGTCGCCGTCCGAGAACTGCGGCGCCCCCAACAAATTGTTCAAGGCATGCCGGCCGCACACGGGAGCGCTGCCCTGGCGCTCAAGATACCGATCGCCCCACAGGGCGCCCGCGTGCCAGGCTGGCGGCGGCGGGAGCGGCCATGGGGGCACCCGCGGCTCCGCCGCCGGCGGCGCGGTGGGCCCGCGCGCGGGGCCACCCTGCCCGTCGCGATGCTCGGGGCCGCGGCCGTCGGCATGCCCGTCGCGATGGCGTGCGGGTGCCTCTTGGGAATGCTCTTGGGCGCGCTCCTCCCGCTGCTCTTGCCCCTGTTCTTCGGGGTGGTTTGGCCCGCGCTCCTCCCGGTGATCTGCTGGGTTGGCTTCGGCGGCCAAGCGCTTCCCCGCTGCCAGAGCCAACTTGCCCGCTTTCCCCGTTGCCAGACCCAGCTTGAGCTTCGCTCTGGAATCGGCGCATTTCGCCCACTCCCTGGCTGCGTCGAGAAAAGCCGACCATCGATCGTCGTTGCCGACCAAGCGCCGCCATTGCTGAGACCTCACGTAGCCGTCCGTCCTATCGACGTCCTCCACAGTGCGGGCAGTCAGGTTCCGTGGCAAAGGCTCCTTGAGAAGATCCCATTCTTTGTCGATCGTCATCGTGCCAGCCATAGATCCCCTCGTGTGGCCCGTGTCGACGTCGGCGACGACCGCGGGGATGGGCTGGGAAAACTCGGCCTTCGGCTTCCTGGAGTGGTTCACGCTGTGGTGCTCCTCGAACCGCACGACGCAATCCGAGCAGCGGCACTTGTAGCAGCCCGCGCCGTCTGTCATGAGCAGCAGATTGTACTTGCGGTCGCCAAGGATCTCCTTGCAGAACGCGTGATACGCCTCGGACGATTCGGGGGCCACGCGGCCCTCGCCGGTGGATTATCGGAGGAGGGGGAGTTGACACACTGGCACCTCAGACTCAGAGCACAATCGCCTCCCGGACCCTCCCCGGGGCAAACGAACGGACGTTTTCCGAACTGCGCCCGGCCGTGGCGACGAGAGCCCGGCCCCCCCTCCGGAGGGGACTCCGCCGGTGTCTCCAATGCCCCTCCTCTGAGATGTGCTCACGCCCAGCGGCATCATGGCGAAGTGGGACGTGCTACCTCGCTGGCGAATGCCAATGTAACAGTAATATGAATGCGTCAGCTCGGCGTTCTCCTCGGCTTTCCACTTGCAAATGACCGTGGCATCGACCTCCACCTCGACCGTTCGAGAAGAGCCGGTGCCCCACTGAATCCCCCGCGCCCGCGCGGGGCGGCAGGCGTCGCCCCTCTCCCCTCGCCCCGGCGAGGGGTTCGTACCCCGGCAGTCGGGTTCTAGTAGTACTCGTAGTTAGTAGTAGTAGTAGTAGTAGTAGTAGTAGTAGTAGTAGTAGTAGTAGTAGTAGTAGTAGTAGTAGTAGTAGTAGTAGTAGTAGTAGTAGTAGTAGTAGTAGTAGTAGTAGTAGTAGTAGTAGTAGTAGTAGTAGTAGTATTGATATTGTTGTTAGTAGTGGTAGTAGTAGTAGTCGTAGTAGTAGTAGTCGTAGTAGTAGTAGTAGTAGTAGTAGTAGTAGTAGTAGTAGTAGTAGTCGTAGTAGTAGTAGTAGTAGTAGTAGTAGTAGTAGTAAGTAGTAGTAGTTAGTAGTAGTAGTAGTAGTAGTAGTAGTAGTAGTAGTAGTAGTAGTAGTAGTAGTAGTAGTAGTAGTAGTAGTAGTAGTAGTAGTAGTCGTAGTCGTAGCGGTAGTAGTAGTAGTAGTAGTAGTAGTAGTAGTAGTAGTTAGTAGTACTACTCTTGTAGTTAGTAGTTAGTAGGTGGTTTAGTAGCCCAGAGAGTTAGTTAGTTACTTAGTAGTAGTAGTAGTAGTAGTAGTAGTAGTAGTTTAGTGCTGGTAGTGGTGTAGTAGTTGTAAGCAGTAGTTGTAGTAGTAGTAGTAGTAGTCGGAAGTTTGCACTCGTAGAAAAAGTGGTTGTAGTAGTAGTAGTATTTGTAGTAGTAGTAGTAGTAGTAGTAGGAGTAGTAGTAGTAGTAGTAGTAGTAGTAGTTGCAGTACTAGTAGTAGTCGTGGTAGTAGTAGTAAGTCTTAGTAGTAGTAGTAGTACCAGTAGCACTAGTAGTAGTACTAGTAGTTGTAGTAGTAGTACTAGTAGTAGTAGTCGTAGTAATAGTAGTAGTGGTAGTAGTAGTAGTAGTAGTAGTAGTAAGTCGTAGTAGTAGTAGTAGTAGTAGGAGGAGGAGGAGGAGGAGGAGGAGAACGAGGAGAAGGAGGGGGAGGGGGGGGAAAGGGGAGGGAGGGGGTAGGATAGGATAGGACTGCTGCTGCTGCTCCTCCTGCTGCTGCTGTTCCTGAACCTCCTCCGCCTCCCTCCTCCTCCTCCGCCTCCTCCTCCTCCTCCTCCTCCTCCTCCCCCGCTGTGTCCCCCCCGTCCTCCCCTCCTCCCCCCCGCCGTCACCCCTGCCCGACACCCCCCTCCTCCCCGGGCCGGCGACAGCCTCCCTGATACCCCTTTGCATGCGAATCGCTGCCGCAGACATGATCGCGCGAGCCCGGGCGCAGTAACCTTGCACGACGCCCTCATGGATATTGAGCTGCCGCACTGCCACCGACTCAGGGACCCCTTCAGCGGCTAGCCACCACGCCATCACGCACATCGACACGCCCTTGCTGCCCTTCCCAAGCAGGCCAGAGAACAACGGATTGTGCAGAGCCACGGATTGGTGCACGCGGCACACGCCACAACACGCGTGCCACGCAGTCTCAATGATAATATCCTGCCCCTTTTCAGCATTGCATCGCAATTGGCCCAGCTCCTTCTCGGCGCCCTCGAGGAAGCTCGACTTCTTGGAGGATTGGCACTTCCCTCGCGGGCACGGCGTCCCTTTCAAGTCGTGCAAAATGCCAGCGGACACGAGGTAGTGGACGAACTCTTCTGGGGACCACCGTGCCATTTGCACAAAGTCCGTGTCAATCGGGGCCCTCGCCATCTTCTTCGCCCTCTCTTCGTACTCCCGCGTTCTGATAGATATTTGCGTGTACTTCAGCCTGGCGACAAGTGCAGCAGATCGGCGGTTCCGCATGTAATCCACGACGGCCTGGCTGCGGCAGTCCTCCACGACCTCGCCCTGCAGCGATTTGTTCGGGCACTGCGGCCGCTTGTGCTCCACGCTCCCACATCTGGAACAGTGCGGGAGAAGGTACCTGGCTGCCGACACTCGTTTTCTCTTCTGCTGCTGGTCCCGCGGGGGCGCTGCAAGCGCCGCCACGGCAGTCTCGCTGGAATGCATGGCCAAGATTTCGGTGGCCTCGATGTGCTGCGCGACCCGCAACTTGGCGATTTCCGGATGCAGGGGCTTGTCCTTGTCCTCCGCCGCCTTCGCGATCATCCCCCGCGCTCTCTCGACCATCAGCTGGGGCCTCTTCGCCAGGAGCCCCTCGAGGAGGCCCTCCTTCTCAAGAGCACACCTCAATGTCAGCTTCTGGTCCAGGATGTTGTTCCTCCAACTCATCAACCGATCAAGGTAGCCAGGGTCCTCCTGAAGCACACTCCTCAAGGTGGAACCAGAATGTTTCCCGAAATCAAAGCGGTACTCCTCCTGAGATTGCGGCGCCTCCGGAGGTTTCCACCCCGCGCGGTGCCTAGCCTTTGCCTTTGCAACTTTTCTCTCCTTGGCCAAAGCAGGGTTCGCGAGCTCCTCCACAAACTCTTGACGCAGCTGCACCATCTCCTCCGGCGTCAGCACGTCGCGGCTGTCGGCGTGCGCCTTGCAAGGTGGCCTGCGGCTTTTGTGGCCTGTCCAGTCTCGGAAAACTCCGACGCATAGTCCGCAATCCGCCACCCATGCTGGGCCCAAGCGCTTTGAAGTGCCATGCGCTGTCTGGCAGGGGCGTCGGCTGTTCTTCCCTGGGGGGCCCCGGGAGGACCCGCGCGGACCGCCACTCCCCGCGATGCTGCGCTGGCACGAGGGCGGGGCTGGCTGTAGCCAGATGGATAGCCTGCGCGCTTCTTGATGACCATCCACTTTTCGAGGTCCGCGGCCGAAAACTCATCGTCCTCCGCCTGGCCCTCCGAGCCCTCCGCGCCAGCCGCCGCTGCGGCGGCGGCGCCTGCCGCCGCAGCAGCCGCCGCGATCCGCCGTGCGCCCTGGCCGCGCCCCGCGCCGCCGGACGCCTCGGCCTTGGCGTTCGCCGCCGCCGCTGCCGCCTGTAGTAGGGCACGGCCTCGGCGAAGCCGTTGCCGTCGCCACCGCCGCCGCCGCGTGCACCAGAACAAACGCGATCGCTCCCTGCCGAAGAATATCGCGGTGGTGTCTGTGGTGTTGTTGCTGTGGAGCTCCAAGACGCCCAAGTCGGAGCCGGTGATGATCGTGATGGTCACGGTGCTGCTGCTGAGGTCTGGCGTGCTGCTCACGGCGAAGCCAACTGGATCCTGCACGCGAGAAGGCAGGTAAGCATACACCGCCACCACGCCAGGCCAGGGCCATCCTGGACCCCGGCATGGTGTATGCGCCCTCCTGCCTTGGGCAGGAGGGTCGATACAGCATCCTGCATCCCAGGATGGCCCTGCTGAGGCATGGTGGTGGTGCGTGTAGCTTCCCTCTACGGATCCTGGACCGCCAAATCCGGGGAGCCCGGGTAGAGCGACCAGTCGCCCCAGGCGGAGCCGGTCAAGCCGCCCTCGAAAACCACCCTGGTGATCGCCATCATGGCCAGACGACCGTAGGCGAGGGCCACCATCGGCGCCGTTAGGCTATGCCGTCGGGGCTTAGAGATATGGAAATATGGGAGGAGCTTAGGAAATCAGCTTGCTGAAAGCCAGGGCGCAGGGCGCCACTCGAGCCAGCCGATGACATGAGGGCGATGGCGACGACGACGACGCAGACGACCGCAGTCGCGACGACATGGGAACTGGCTGCTGACATCGCGTGGGTCGTTCACTCTTGAGCGATCTGCGCACCTGGAGGCCGTCCTGGAATCATGATTTCGGACCGCGGGTCGATTTCCGTGAGTCCTGGGGCCCGAAGAAAAAATACCCTGGGCGCATTCAACCATGCACGCCCACGCTGGAACGCAAGGAGGAGGAGACCCAGGAGCAACAACAACAACAACAGCTTTGCCCAAGGTGTTCGCGGTGGGGTTCGCCCAAGAGGCCTGGGGCAGAGTGGCTACGATGTTAGCCAGCGTGGGCCCAAACCGGCGAATCCCACCAGCACTTTAGGGCGTGAGTGGTCTAAGGAGCTCGTTCTGCTAAACCCCCTTTTTCCCCTTGGGGGAGGGGGTTCCCCCTCCCCCTACCCCCTCCCCCTGGACCTGGAGGGAGGGTGCCGCGAGAGGTTGGAGCGTCCAAGATGGCCCAAGATGGCTCCAAGCGGGTCCCAGAGAGCCCAAGATGGTCTCCAAGATCGCGCAAGATATCCCAAGATGGTTCAAGATAGCTATCAACATGCATCCAAGAGCTCTGGAGACCGCCCCAGGACGGCTCCAAGTGCCTTTCGAGCCCTCCAAGGAAGCCCTCAAGAGGCCAAAATCATTCAAATCCTGTATGTTTTTCCGATGTTTTTTGCATTGTCACCCTTTCGCGCCCGATGGCCTCTTGAGGCCTCAAGATGGCTTCTGGATGGCCCAAGAGGGCCCCAAAAGGGGCCCAGGGGGGCCCCAAGACCGCCCCAAGAACACCCAAGACCGCTCCAAGAGCGGCCCACGAGGGCCCCAAGAGGTTCATTTTCGGGCCCCGACGGGGGGACGCAGTTAAGGACCCCCCCGTCCCCGACTCGACCATGTCCTATTGAATTCCGATTCAAAAACAAATAAATGATTAAGGAATTCCTCCGGCGGCTGGGACTCGACCATTTCCTATCGAATTCCTATTTCAGCGTTCCGAAGGATCCAACCTGTTTATACTAAGTCCCCGCGCAGGTCACTCCGATGCCCCCCCCCCCCCCCCAGCAGCCCTCGAAAGTGGCGACAGTTTCGCAGACCGCAGCCCCCCCAGGGATGGCGAAGTCAAATCTGTAGGGTCCCTTGGGAATCCTATGGGGTCCCTGAGGAATCCTATGGGTTCCCTTAGGAATCCCACTGGGGATCCTATAGGAATCCTGTTGGAATCCTATAGTAATCCTATGGGATCCCTTAGGAATCCTATGGGATCCCTTAGGAATCCGATGGGATCCCTCAAGAATCCTATAGGATCCCTTAGGAATCCTATAGGATCCCTTAGGAACCCTATGGGGATCCTATAGGAATCGTACGGGAATCCTATGGGATCCCTTAGGAATCCTATGGGATCCCTTGGGAATCCTATGGGGTCCCTGAGGAATCCTACTGGGATCCTATGGGAATCCTATTGGAATCCTATAGGCATCCTATGGGATCCCTTAGGATTCCTATGAGATCCCTTAGGAATCCGATGGGATCCCTGAGGAATCCTATAGGATCCCTTAGGAATCCTATAGGATCCCTTAGGAATCCTATGCGGATCCTATAGGAATCGTATGGGAATCCTATGGGCTCCCTTAGGAATCCTATGGGGATCCCTTGGGAATCCTATGGGGCCCCTTAGGAATCCTATGGGATCCCTGAGGAATCCTATAGGATCCCATGGGATCCCTTAGGAATCCTATGGAATCCCTAAGGAATCCTACAGGATCCCTTAGGAATCCTATGGGGTCCCTTAGGAATCCTATGGGAGCCCTTAGGAATCCTATGGGATCCCTGAGGAATCCTGTAGGGTCCCTTGGGAATCCGATGGGGTCCCTGAGGAATCCTATGGGATCCCTTAGGAATCCTACTGGAATCCTATAGGAATCCTATGCGGATCCTAAAGGAATCGTATGGGAATCCTATGGGATCCCTTAGGAATCCTATGGGGATCCTATGGGTATCCCTTAGGTACCCTGAGGAATCCTATGGGATCCCTGAGGAAGCCTATGGGATCCCTTAGGAATCCTATAGGAATCGTATAGGAATCCTATGGGATCCCTAAGGAATCCTATAGGAATCGTATAGGAAACCTATGGGATCCCTAAGGAATCCTATGGGATCCCTGAGGAATCCGATAGGGATCCCTCAGGAATCCTATGGGATCCTACCAGGACCCCTTCCGCGGCCGCGGAAGGGTTGCTGGGGTTGCTGGGGTTGCTGGGGTTGCTGGGGTCCCCCCGGGCCGGTCTAATCGTCCTCATTCTACTACTACAACTACTAATAATCCTCCTACTACTACTACTTCTACTACTACTACTACTACTACTACCACTACTACTACTACCACCACTACTACTACCACTACTACTACTGCAACTCATGCCACTGCTACGACTACTACGACTACTACTACTACTACTACTACTACTACTACTACTACTACTACTACTACTACTCCTACGACTCCTACTACTACTACTACTACTACTACTACTACGACTACTACTACTACTACTACGACTACTACCACTACTCATGCTCCTACTACTCCCGCGATAACTACTACGACTACTAATACTACTGCTACGAGTATGGCTACGGTTTCGACTGCTCCTACTACTACGACTACTACTACTACTACTACTACTAAAACTACTACGACTACTACAATTACTATTACTACTACGACTGCTCCCAATACTACCACTACTACTACGACTACTGCTACTACAACTACTAATAATACTACTCTACTACTACTACTACTACTACTACTACTACTACTACTACTACTACTACTACTACTACTACTACTACTACTACTACTACTACTACTACTACTACTACTACTACTACGACTACGACTACGACTACGACTACGACTACGACTACGACTACGACTACTACTACTACTACTACTACTTCTTCTTCTACGGCTACTACGACTGAGACTGACCTTGCTCGGTGTGCGCCAAAACTGTGGTGGAAGGAAACAAAGGCCATGGGGATATTGCGCGGCGGACGCGCGGCCGAACAACCAAAAATACAAGATGAATAAACCTGTCCGACACGCATGCGAAATGAATCCCAGACGTGCACGGAATGTGTACGATAGGTCTGCAAACACAAAAAACTAAACGTATACATGAACGTACATTACACGTATACGGAAACGTGTATTCAATGTTTACGCACTGCACGCAACATGGAAAGGCCACACAAGGCCACGCGTCCGAAACGCACACGAAACGTATACACGACAAGTGCGACACGTATCTTGAACGTATACGAAACATGCACAAAACGCTTATAACACGCATATCGAACGTATACACAAATGTACCAGAAAGGTGTTGGAAACGTCTATGGCGCGTTAACGACACGTATGTAAAACGTGAACGCTACGAAAACAACGCATACGAAGCGTATACGCCACGTAGGAACATACGTAAAACGACCAAGTGTAAAACGCGCATGCCACGTATACGAGACGTGTACGAAACGAGCACGACATGGAAAGCAAGCGCTTAAGAAACGCAAGTGGAACGTGAATGAAACGTTCTTGGAACGTGTATGGAGCGTGGAGAAGCTCGACCTGGATCGCGTACGAAACGTCCACGTAACATATGCAAGACAAATTCTAATCGTTTGCGAAAAACATACACATCGGATACGGAACGCCATAAATGACGCATGCGAGGCGCATGTAGCAAGTATTCGACACGCGTGCGAAACGCATCCAAAACACACCCGGTACCCTGCGCAAAACGTACGCGAATCGTCTACACAACTATCCCTGGACGAACGCGCGAACGTACCCGAATCGCATACACAACGTACCCAGTTGACCCCTGGCCCTGCAGGATCCTGAAAGCTCCTGCGCCCAGGCTGGCCCTCGCTTGCCTCCACCCCCATCCCCTGACCCCCCCGACCCGTGCCCATCTCTGAGCATCGTCTAACCGATCCCCATCCCCACCGGTGTGGCCTGTGAGTCCCACTGGCCGATTTGCCCCCCTAAAATGGGGATATGGGCTGCTCCCTTCGGGTTTCAAGGGGTAGATCCCCAAACTGTGGTGGTGAGATGGTGTGGCTCGGGATGGGAATCTAGGGCTCCCAACTTCGCGCTTCGCGCTGCGCGAAGCGCGAAGCGCGAATAACTTCGCGCTCTCGCGCCGCCCTCCCAAAGGGAGAATAGGAGGACGAGGAGGAGGGGGAGAAGGAACGAGGACCGCGAAGCGCGAAGCGCGAATAACTTCGCGCCCTCGAGGGAGCCCTTGGGAATGGGGACGGGAATGGGAATGGAGATCGGTTAAACGCTACTGAATCTCGGGCGTGCCGGGTCCCTGGTCGTCCCTTCGCGGTCCGGGTGCTCGGCGCGGGCCCACGGAGGCCGAACACCTTGGACCAGAGCCTCCGTCGCAGTCTTGTGCCACCCCGCGGGGGTGCCGCCCCACCCCCCCTCCCGAGGCCAAGCCCCTGCTTGAGGGCGGCCCTGCCACTCGGGCGACGATCCAAAACGCGCCTTGCGCGACATGACACGGCGACCTTGCGCCGCAGCTTACGCTGGCCGCCACCGCGGCACGCTACATTGGAGACGAGGGCGCTTACGCGCAACCTTGCGCGGGCATCTCACGCGCCAGTGTCGGTGAAGACGACCAATGTCGGCGCCAATGCCGGTTGACCCGATTATCTACTAATGCCTGATACCAAACTGAGCTTCTGTGCAAGATAGGCATGTGCTGCGCAGAAGACGGAGAATACACCACGCCACGGTCCATCCCATAAAGTCGGGGCGTTGACCTAAAGAACCCTAAATAAGAAACTAGGCCCCTTTTTTCCACCGTCCGATTTTCCCTCGAAAACCTAGGGAGAACATAAGGCCAACTGCAAAATAAGTACGGAACACGCGGCCCTTCCCAAACGAACAAGGTTCCTTCGTCGGCGCCCCAACTGCATCGCCTCGAGCACAGCGCTCGAAAGAAGGCGTTTCGGGGATGGACAGACCTCCCTTTAGCAAAACGTGGTTTAGTGAAAACGACCTGAGGCCCAAACCTGGCGGGCGCAGGCCTGGAAAATAACGGCCGCGGCGCCCTCTCGAGAACCGAAAACGGACAATTCACTAATCGACGTGCCACTGTTGGGGGCTCTGTCCACCCCCGAGCGTTGGCGATCCTGCCACTTGAAGACGGTCTTCTTCGTCACCACGTACGGGACGACCTCGGCCTCGAGGCAGCGCGTGAAGAAGATGTGGGCCAGGTCGGTCACCTGCCCCCTCGGATGGCGGACAGGCGGCCTCTCCCAAGACCAGCTAGGAGGGAGGAGGAGGAGGAGGAGGAGGAGGAAAAGGAGGAGGAGGAGGAGGAGGATAAGGAGCAGGAGGATGATGATGATGAGGAGGAGGAGGAGGAGGAGGAGCAGGAGGAAAAGGAGGAGGATGATGATGAGGAGCGAGCCCAAGATGCATCAACGATGCTGGAAGACGCACGCCCGTCCCAATTCCCCTCCTCAACCCTTACAAGAATTCCGAATTCTTTTGAGCAACCGCCGCCATCCACGAGGCTTGATCCGAAAATCCGGATAAGCCAATTGGGCTGAGATTGCTTGGAGCGATTCCTCTTCCATCCTCCCTCTTTCTTCCCTTTCGGGAAGGGCCTACCCCTCCCACTACCCCCCTCTCTTGGGTCTGGACGGGGGCGCGCACGAGAGGTCAGGGCGCCCTCGCAGTCCTAAGCGACAGGCAAACATCATCGGTTGCCCCCCAGGAGGGGGGGAATCCACGCAGCCCCCTTTCTCTTGTTCGCTGGCCTCCAAGGTGGCCCCACGACGGCCCAGCAAGCTCCAATGGGAGCACCAGGGCACCCCAAAGAGGCCCCCAGGACGCCCCTAAAGAGGCCCTGTGCGTGGCCCCAAGAATGCCACCCAGAGGCACCCAAGACGCTCCAGGAGGCCCCCGAAAAAACGGACAAGAGCACCCCAAAACGCCAGAAGATGCCTCCAAGAGGCCCTCCATGTACAGTCGGGGCCTTGACCTAAGGAACCCAAAATAAGGAACGAGGCCCCTTTTTTCCATAAGTTGAACTTCGATTCCCGATCGAAAATATAAGGAAAACCTGAGGCAAGCTGCGAAACACTTGAGGAACGCGGAGCCCCTCCCCAACGAAAAGGGTTCCTTCTTCAGTTCCCCGACTGTACGCCCCGAGAGACCCCAGGCAACATCCGAGGGGCCTCCGACCCCTATGGGCCGACGAGCTCTCCACATGATGCCATATGCTCCTCCGGTCAGGGCAGCTCGCCGGGCACGGTGAATAATTAGGTGGGCTGGCGGGGGGCACTGCGCGAGCCGCCAGGACTTTCCAAGGAAGCGTCCAGCGACGGGTCCGCCTTGCAACATACAGTCATCGGCCTGACCTAAGGAACGATAAATAAGGAACGAAGTCCCTGTTTTATCGAAAGGGATAACGCATAAGGAACGAAACAAAACAAATAACGAATAAGGAACTGTAAATAACGCATGTAAGCCTAAGGAACGACCGAGCCCCTTTTGAAAAGTCAGTGTTCCTTATTCAAGCCGCTCATTGTAAAAGCCATCCTCGTACCAGCTGCTGTGTAATGTTACGCGGGTGGGCGCACGATTCGACAAAAAACCCGAGGAGGGGCGTCCAGGTAGAGCCCCAGCGTGCAAAGGCCCCTCCCTCCATCCGCGCTGCTGCTGGACAGCCGACAGACTTCGAGGCTCAACGCGCCTGGGCCTGTCTGCATCGAAACGTCCACCATGGAATGGGACCACCCTCCACCCATGTCATTGCTGACAAGTGTGAACACGAATGCGCGCGGCGCCAAAACGAGAACCACATGTTGCAGACGAGCCCAGTTCCATCCGTGTACACGTTGAAGCTTATGAAACGAGTGTGCGCGGAGGAGGAGGGACAGGGGGAGTGCACGGATGATGTGGTCAAAAACGTGGGGGCAGATGGGAGAGGAGGGAGGGCAGGGGGAGGAGGGGCAGCAAAGAGGACGCGAGGATGGGACGGGGCGGGCCGCGGGAGGGGAGAGGATGGGAGCAGCCAGCTTCGAGCCGAGACGAAACACTCGCCCAAAGAGGGGGGATGGGGGCAGAAACGCGACGTCGGAGGCACGGGAACCCCGACGTCCGACGCCGCGCCCGTCCACCAACACGGGCCGCCAGAGGCCTGGAACCTCTCCCGGGGCTGGGTGATCGATCCTGGGGCGCTTTCGACGGCTCCGGGGCCAGGCAGAATTGGACTTAGGTCGGGCATGTCCCCCTACAGGCGGAGTTTGGGCGACAACTGACAAAAATACAAAGAAAAAGCACCGACAAAAGCATCAGAAATGGTAGACAAATCGTCCCCGGACTATTTTTTGACTGCGGTGCACCGTCCTCCACGCAGGGCCGCCGCGGCGCCCAGAGGGCGCGGAAGGCTGCCGCCGCCGCGCGGACGGCCGAGCGCAAGAGAGCTGCCCACGAGTGGGGTGCTTCGTCCCGAGCTGGAGCGGCCAAACGGCCAAGCCGCGCCGGCTGCACTCGGCCGGCGAGCAAACGTTTGGGGGTCGGCAGTGCGGCCGTCCCCGAGACCAGACAAGCTCTCTGCGCCACTCGCCAGGGGGGCCTCCACCTCCTCGTCCCTCTCCTCCCTCTCCTCCGCCGTCGACGACGCCGTCCGAGCTCCGACCCAGACGTCCGACGCGACACGGCGCACAGCGTGACCCGGCGGGAATCCGCGGCGGGCAGTCGCCGCGACGGCAGCACAACGCACTCTGAGGACGGCCGCGCCCCAAGCGGAGCAAAAGGCTCCAGTCGAGGCGGGCCCCGCACATTGCGGAACATCCTGCTTCCCCCCCCCTCTCCTCTAACTTGGATACTCGGTGCTCGCCCCACGAGAAGATGGGGCCAAGAGGCTGGCGGGACCGCCGTTCGCTCAGTCCTGGACGGCCGCGGAGGCCTTCTCCATCCGGAAGCTCGGCTTGAGGAACGAGAAGTAGGTGATGCTGAGCATCATCCACACGTATACCATGAAGAGGCCACAGTGCGTCCAGTACGCGGCCACGAGCGGGTACCCCGTGGTGCCCATTGCCTCGCGACACATCTCGCCTTGTTCAGAGTACATGGCGACGGGGATGCCGACGGTGGAGATGCAGTAGGGCAGCGCGACGACAAGGTGCAGGATCCAGCCGAATGTGAACATGCACTTGTCGTCGGTATAGCCCCCCATCGCCATCCAGATGCAGCAGAAGGACTCGATGAAGCAGTCGAGCGCGAAGAAACCAACCCAGAAGCGCAGGTCGTCGCAGTCATCGGGTTCATCGGCGCCCCAATTGAGTTTGGGAATCGAAGGGTAGATCTGAAAGTATGCCACGAAGAAGCCGAAGTTCTGAATGGCCATCATCGCGGCGTAGGCCACGATCTTGGGCTTGTCGGCGGGGAGGGACGTCACCGTGCAAGGCATGGCTGAGGATCGAGTGCGTGCTGGGAGGTGGGGGGAGATGGTCGCTCGGGCGGGGGGCTGCCTGGTGCAAAACAGCTAGAATTCCTTGCGCCAAAATGGCTACGGATTCCCCTTCCTCAATTCCTTTCCTTATCAGCAGCTTCTCCCTGTCGCACCCCGAGGCTGGTCGAAACGGCGGGCTGGGCGTAAAGTTGGCAACAGTGTCACAGACGGAGGGCGGGTGGTTTTCATGGTGTGGCTCTCGCTTTGGCGCCGCGCACATTCGATGTCAAATATTGCAAGAGTTTGACGGATAGAGCGCGGGTGGTTTTTTAAAATGTGGCTGTAGCCATAGAGCCGCGCACATTCAAGTTGCAAGAGTTTCGCAGATCCCATGGTCAACTTATGCATGATTATGAGGGTGCAACAGTTGCTTTGATTCGCGGCGTTGAAGTCCCAGGGATGGCTTTCTGGCACGATTCAGGATCGTCAAGACGCAACAGCCAGGTTGGTCCGTGGCGTTGGAAACCTGAGAACAATGTTTTGGCACGTTTCAGGCTCTTCAAACGGTTGTCTTCCAACGCGTCAGTTCGTTCCCTCAGTGGAAATGAACCGCTGTAGGGGGGCCCATGAACGGGGAGCTTGGACGGAGGGTGTGTTCCAAAACCGTTGGTGACTCTTGGGTTTACACTGGTCCCCTTCCTCCTCCTCCTCCTCCTCCTCCTCCTCCTCCTCCTCCTCCTCCTCCTCCTCGTCCTCGTCCTCGTCCTCGTCCTCGTCCTCCTCCTCCCTTCTCCGCCTCCTCCTCCGGAGGACCCTGGCGTAACCGCAACCTTGGGAGTCGCCGAGCCGCTGCCCTGCCGCCACCCCTGGCCAGCCCCGCTGGCGCGGGCTCCGCGCGCTCCTCGGGCCACGCGGGACTGACGCGTGGGCGGTCGATCGGGTGCGTCCTCCACGGGTGCAGCAAGCGCCCGGGGAGGCAGAAAGGCATCGACAAAACAGCCAGGATCCCCCGTCTGGTTCCATGCTACCTGGGCCTTCCTCTTCCTGGTGAGCGATTTCGACACTGGGCTGTGGGGGGGGAGGGGGAGGGGTCTGGTTTCGGACCTCTGCTTAGCGCGACTGTTTGGAGCAGTGCGTCCCATGGGGGAGGCTCCACCTGCCCGAAACGGGCGCCCGAAACAGCCAAGATCTACTCCATGGAGGGGGGGGGGGGGGAGAGGGCGGGGGGGGGCGGGGGCGGGGGGGAGAGGGCGGGGGGAGGGGAGACTGGCGATGCTGGAAGACGCACGCCCGTCCCAATTCCCCTCCTCAACCCTTACAAGAATTCCGAATTCTTTTGAGCAGCCGCCGCCATCCACGAGGCTTGATCCGAAAATCCGGATAAGCCCATTGGGCTGAGATTGCTTGGAGCGATTCCTCTTCCATCCTCCCTCTTTCTTCCCTTTCGGGAAGGGCCTACCCCTCCCACTACCCCCCTCTCTTGGGTCTGGACGGGGGCGCGCACGAGAGGTCAGGGCGCCCTCGCAGTCCTAAGCGACAGGCAAACATCATCGATTGCCCCCCAGGAGGGGGGGAATCCACGCAGCCCCCTTTCTCTTGTTCGCTGGCCTCCAAGGTGGCCCCACGACGGCCCAGCAAGCTCCAATGTGAGCACCAGGGCGCCCCAAAGAGGCCCCCAGGACGCCCCTAAAGAGGCCCTGTGCGTGGCCCCAAGAATGCCACCCAGAGGCACCCAAGACGCTCCAGGAGGCCCCCGAAAAAACCGACAAGAGCACCCCAAAACGCCAGAAGATGCCTCCAAGAGGCTCTCCATGTACAGTCGGGGCCTTGGCCTAAGGAACCCAAAATAATGAACGAGGCCCCTTTTTTCCATAAGTTGAACTTCGATTCCCGATCGAAAACATAAGGAAAACCTGAGGCAAGCTGCGAAACACTTGTGGAACGCGGAGCCCCTCCCCAACGAAAAGGGTTCCTTCTTCAGGGCCCCGACTGTACGCCCCGAGAGACCCCAGGCAACATCCGAGGGGCCTCCGACCCCTACGGGCCGACGAGCTCTCCACATGATGCCATATGCTCCCCCGGTCAGGGCAGCTCGCCGGGCACGGTGAATAATTAGGTGGGCTGGCGGGGGGCACTGCGCGAGCCGCCAGGACTTTCCAAGGAAGCGTCCAGCGACGGGTCCGCCTTGCAACATACAGTCATCGGCCTGACCTAAGGAACGATACATAAGGAACGAAGTCCCTGCTTTATCGCAAGGGATAACGCATAAGGAACGAAACATAACAAATAACGAGTAAGGAACTGTAAATAACGCATGTAAGCCGAAGGAACGACCGAGCCCCTTTTGAAAAGTCAATGTTCCTGATTCAAGCCGCTCATTGTAAAAGCCATCCTCGTACCAGCTGCTGTGTAATGTTACGCGGGTGGGCGCACGATTTGAGAAAAACCCGAGGAGGGGCGTCCAGGTAGAGCCCCAGCGTGCAAAGGCCCCTCCCTCCATCCGCGCTGCTGCTGGACAGCCGACAGACTTCGAGGCTCAACGCGCCTGGGCCTGTCTGCATCGAAACGTCCACCATGGAATGGGACCACCCTCCACCCATGTCACTGACAAGTGTGAACACGAATGCGCGCGGCGCCAAAACGAGAACCACATGTTGCAGACGAGCCCAGTTCCATCCGTGTACACGTTGAAGCTTATGAAACGAGTGTGCGCGGAGGAGGAGGGACAGGGGGAGTGCACGGATGATGTGGTCAAAAACGTGGGGGCAGATGGGAGAGGAGGGAGGGCAGGGGGAGGAGGGGCAGCAAAGAGGACGCGAGGATGGGACGGGGCGGGCCGCGGGAGGGGAGAGGATGGGAGCAGCCAGCTTCGAGCCGAGACGAAACACTCGCCCAAAGAGGGGGGATGGGGGCAGAAACGCGACGTCGGAGGCACGGGAACCCCGACGTCCGACGCCGCGCCCGTCCACCAACACGGGCCGCCAGAGGCCTGGAACCTCTCCCGGGGCTGGGTGATCGATCCTGGGGCGCTTTCGACGGCTCCGGGGCCAGGCAGAATTGGACTTAGGTCGGGCATGTCCCCCTACAGGCGGAGTTTGGGCGACAACTGACAAAAATACAAAGAAAAAGCACCGACAAAAGCATCAGAAATGGTAGACAAATCGTCCCCAGACTATTTTTTGACTGCGGTGCACCGTCCTCCACGCAGGGCCGCCGCGGCGCCCAGAAGGCGCGGAAGGCTGCCGCCGCCGCGCGGACGGCCGAGCGCAAGAGAGCTGCCCACGAGTGGGGTGCTTCGTCCCGAGCTGGAGCGGCCAAACGGCCAAGCCGCGCCGGCTGCACTCGGCCGGCGAACAAACGTTTGGGGGGCGGCAGTGCGGCCGTCCCCGAGACCAGACAAGCTCTCTTCGTCCCTCTCCTCTCTCTCCTCCACCGTCGACGACGCCGTCCGAGCTCCGACCCAGACGTCCGACGCGACACGGCGCACAGCGTGACCCGGCGGGAAACCGCGGCGGGCAGTCGCCGCGACGGCAGCACAACGCACTCTGAGGACGGCCTCGCCCCAAGCGGAGCAAAAGGCTCCAGTCGAGGCGGGCCCCGCACATTCGCGGAACATCCTGCTTCCCCCCCCCTCTCCTCTAACTTGTTTGGATACTCGGTGCTCGCCCCCCGAGAAGATGGGGCCAAGAGGCTGGCGGGACCGCCGTTCGCTCAGTCCTGGACGGCCGCGGAGGCCTTCTCCATCCGGAAGCTCGGCTTGAGGAACGAGAAGTAGGTGATGCTGAGCATCATCCACACGTATACCATGAAGAGGCCACAGTGCGTCCAGTACGCGGCCACGAGCGGGTACCCCGTGGTGCCCATTGCCTCGCGACACATCTCGCCTTGTTCAGAGTACATGGCGACGGGGATGCCGACGGTGGAGATGCAGTAGGGCAGCGCGACGACAAGGTGCAGGATCCAGCCGAATGTGAACATGCACTTGTCGTCGGTATAGCCCCCCATCGCCATCCAGATGCAGCAGAAGGACTCGATGAAGCAGTCGAGCGCGAAGAAACCAACCCAGAAGCGCAGGTCGTCGCAGTCATCGGGTTCGTCGGCGCCCCAATTGAGTTTGGGAATCGAAGGGTAGATCTGAAAGTACGCCACGAAGAAGCCGAAGTTCTGAATGGCCATCATCGCGGCGTAGGCCACGATCTTGGGCTTGTCGGCGGGGAGGGACGTCACCGTGCAAGGCATGGCTGATGATCGAGTGCGTGCTGGGAGGTGGGGGGAGATGGTCGCTCGGGCGGGGGGCTGCTTGGTGCAAAACAGCTAGAAATCCTTGCGCCAAAATGGCTACGGATTCCCCTTCCTCAATTCCTTTTCCTTATCAGCAGCTTCTCCCTGTCGCACCCCGAGGCTGGTCGAAACGGCGGGCTGGGCGTAAAGTTGGCAACAGTGTCACAGATGGAGGGCGGGTGGTTTTCATGGTGTGGCTTTCGCTTTGGCGCCGCGCACATTCGATGTAACATATTGCAAGAGCTTGACGGATAGAGCGCGGGTGGTTTTTTTAAATGTGGCTGTAGCCATAGAGCCGCGCACATTCAAGTTGCAAGAGTTTCGCAGATCCCATGGTCAACTTATGCATGATTATGAGGGTGCAACAGTTACTTTGATTCGCGGCGTTGAAGTCCCAGGGATGGCTTTCTGGCACGATTCAGGTTCGTCAAGACGCAACAGCCAGGTTGGTCCGTGGCGTTGGAAACCTGAGAACAATGTTTTGGCACGTTTCAGGCTCTTCAAACGGTTGTCTTCCAACGCGTCAGTTCGTTCCCTCAGTGGAAATGAACCGCTGTAGGGGGGCCCATGAACGGGGAGCTTGGACGGAGGGTGTGTTCCGAAACCGTTGGTGACTCTTGGGTTTACACTGGTTCCCTTCCTCCTCCTCCTCCTCCTCCTCCTCCTCCTCCTCCTCCTCCTCCTCGTCCTCGTCCTCGTCCTCGTCCTCCTCCTCCCTTCTCCGCCTCCTCCTCCGGAGGACCGTGGCGTAACCACAACCTTGGGAGTCGCCGAGCCGCTGCCCTGCCGCCACCCCTGGCCAGCCCCGCTGGCGCGGGCTCCGCGCGCTCCTCGGGCCACGCGGGACTGACGCGTGGGCGGTCGATTGGGTGCGTCCTCCACGGGTGCAGCAAGCGCCCGGGGAGGCAGAAAGGCATCCCTGGGGGGCTGCGATCTGTGAAACTGTCGCCACTTTCGGGTCCTGCTGGGGGGCCCAGCACAGTGGGTACTCACCGCGGACTCAAATTAGACCTCGCCATCCCTGGGGGGCTGCGATCTGTGAAACTGTCGCCACTTTCGAGGCCTGCTGGGGGGCCCAGCACAGTGGGTACTCACCGCGGCCTCAAATTAGACCTCGCCATCCCTGGGGGGCTATCGACAAAACAGCCAGGATCCCCCGTCTGGTTCCATGCTACCTGGGCCTTCCTCTTCCTGGTGAGCGATTTCGACACTGGGCTGTGGGGGGGGAGGGGGAGGGGTCTGGTTTCGGACCTCTGCTTAGCGCGACTGTTTGGAGCAGTGCGTCCCATGGGGGAGGCCCCACCTGCCCGAAACGGGCGCCCGAAACAGCCAAGATCTACTCCATGGAGGGGGGGGGGAGAGGGCGGGGGGGCGAGGGCCCGCGCCGATCGGCAAAACGATGAACAAAAAAACGATAGCCCACCTATCTCCCACACTCCCCCCCCAATCGGGGATGGACAGACCCCCCTTTAGTAGAACGTGGTTTAGTGACAACGACCTGGGGCCCAAACCTGGCGGGCGCAAGCCTGGAAAATAACGGCCACGGCGCCCTCTCGAGAACCGAAAACGGACAACTCACTAATCGACGTGTCACTGTTGGGGGTTCTGTCCAGCCCCGACCCAATCCCTCTCCGAGACTCCCCCCGAGGCGCCCCCGAGAGAGAGGCCCAAAGAGAGACCACCAAAAGGGGCCCCAGAGCGCCGCGGCCGAGGGCCCACGGGAGGCCTCCCACGAGGCCCCCACGAGCCTCCCAGCGAGGCCCCTCGGTCACGACCCCAAAAGTGACTACCTACCAGACCACCCCAACCCAACCCGAAGACCCGAATTTCGGGTTGGGGGGGGTAAGGGTTCCACATGTGTTTTTTCGATGTTTCCCGACACCCCCCCACTGGAAATCGAGGGTAAATCTGAGCCTTCGGGTTGGGTTGGGGTGGTTTGGTGGGTGGTGAGCAATAGATTTGGACCACGTGTATTGCAAGCGTACTGCGCCGGAGAATTGGATTGCATTGTATTGGAAATGTGCTGCGCCGGAGCATTGGGTTGCATGGTATTGCAAATGTGCTGCGCGCCCCGGATGTGTGGCAGCCCCACACATCTACTGCACCAGATCTATTGCACCACCCCCTTATCGCTGGACCCCCTTTGGGCTCAACCCGAAGTGTGCCTTGAGGCCACTAAACTTAAGTCGGGCGTGTCCCCCTACAGGGGGATTTTCGACGAAAATAAAACATATTTAACAAATACTTCAGCATGGTCAAAAAATACTCCCCAAAAAAGTCCCCAGACTATGCTTTGACTATTTTTGAATATTCCCCCTGTAGAGGGACAGGCCCGACTTAACACTAAACACTACATACACAGCTGGCGAAATGGGCGAAGCGATCCGCCGCCCCGCCGGGTACGGCACGTGGGACCACCGCCGCATGATCTCCCAGGACGGTGTCTCGTGAGTCCTCGCCCCACCGCACTTTTCTCATGCCGATCCCTGCCCCTGAGCCTCTCCAGGCCCGTCCCGGGGTCCTCCCTACGGACCGCTCACTCCGCCTGCCCAGGTGCCTTGGGCGCGGCCGCGACGCCCTCTGTTTAATGGCAGTCATTTGTGAGCGCTTCTTATTCGGCGTTTTCCAGCATTGGGCGGAGGGGGCGGCGGAAGGGGGGGCTCTGGCTCCGGACCTCTGCTTCATGCGACTGTTTGCAACAGTGCGTCCGACGCCGAAAATAGAGATCTACTCCATGGAGAGGGGGGGGGAGGGGGAGGGCGGGGTGCGAGGGCCCGCGCCGATCAGCAAAACAACGAATAAGAAAGCGACGACTTTCCGACCCAAAACGACCCCTGTTTCAGGTGCTGGGTTTCTGTGCGCCCCCAGCTCTCAGAGACCTCTCCGGGACCCCCTACGCTGGTGATGCGAGGGCCTCTCGGGGCCCTCCCGGGCTCCTCTTGCGGGTCCTTTGGGACGCCCTGGGCCGCTCTGGATGCCTCTCCACCTTCGCTTGGGCTCAAAGCACATGCAAGCCCCGATGAACAAGAAAAAACGGCCAAAACACATCGGACGCTGACGATTCCCGCCGCCTCGGGCTTCTCAGTGCGCCTCTGTTGGGCCTCCCGTGCATCTCCCTGGGCTTCTCCTTCAATCGTGGAACCATGCTGCCACTCTCTGCGGCCGGCCTGACTGCCCCTCGTGACCCCCCCGAGCTGCCAGGGCGCCTTCTGGGCAGCTCTCTCCAGGAGCCCCTGGGCATCCCCTCCAGGAGCCAAAATCCAAGCGGCACTGCGTCTTGTCCCCCTCCGCTAGTGACTCCCCAGACCTGCGACGCCTGACTTTTTCAGGACGGCGTCTTTGAAATCTCGACCCGTTCCCCGGGACCGGTCTTTCGTCCTGAGTCGTTTTTTGACGGTCCCCTTGCCCAGCGAGGACCCCCCCGGGGCCGAAAATAGCAAAAAATCTCCCGTCCTGATTTTCTAACGACGCGCATGTCTGGGACCTCTCCCTCGATCACCCCACTCCGCCGCACTCGCCCAATTATGGTCCCTTCTCGGACCCCTCTCGGGGGCCCCCGGTTCAGGGGTCACTGGGGACGTCCTGGCGGCTTGTCGGAGACCTCCTCGGCTCCAAGAGCACTGGGGAGGCGGTATCTGCCCCCTCGGGGGCGCTCAATTGAACATATCGGCGCAAATTCCAAGAATCCCAATATTGTCCCCATATCTTGGATGTCCCTCGTCCCTTCCATCCCCACAGTTCTTTGTGATTCTCGTTGAATATTTGTTTGTTAGGTGTGTGTTGTGCCTACCTTCCCCCCCTGCTCTTGGATGCTCGCTCTGGGGACCTTCCCGGAGCCACTCGCTCCACTCATGCGTCGATGCTGCGTCACACGCCCACGGCCTTGGGCCAAGCTGGCGTCGGACTCGAGTCGAGCCAGAGTCGACCACCTCCGCTGGGCGGCTCCCTCCCCCTCAGAAGGGGCCGGGCGCGCCTCGGCCCCCAGGAGACGGCGGGCGGGATGCCCGGCCCTCTCCGCTGGCGAGGCGCGTTCGGGGGAGCCGAGCCGCCCGCCCGTGAAGGCCCGCCGGTGCGCGCCGGGGCGAGGCGGGGGAGGAGGATGACGACGACGAAGCCAACGAGGGAGGCCGCGGAAGCATTAGGAGGCGGCAACCCTGAGGCGCTCTGGGTGCCACGGAGGGAGGGGGAGGAGGGGAGGGAGGTTCGGGGGCGCGCAAACATGGATTAGCGATCCATGGGTTTGGCGCGCGGTCGCCAAATCCGTGGATCGGGGCAGGTGCCCTCCCCGAAATGCGGCCGGTGCCGCCTCGCTCGGCGGCGGAAATCCGCGATCCCCCGAAGAAACGGGACCCGTCGCTAATCCACGCCCCCTTGATCCATGTTTGCGATCGCCTGAGACTTGAGTAGGGACCGCCCGTCCTGGCATTCCTATAGTCCTACCACGAAATCTTCGCAGAACCCAAAAACTGTTCTAAGAACACAAACCCTGTTCTTAGAACATAAGCCCGATGATATAACACAAGACAGACTCCGCCAGACATGTTCTAAGAGCAGTTCGTGGAGACCACAAAAGGTTCTTAGAACATTGTTTGGTAGGGCTAGTCGGGGATGGACAGACCTCCCTTTAGTAAAACGTGGTTTAGTGAAAACGACCTGAGGCCCAAACCTGGCGGGCGCAAGCCTGGAAAATAACGGCCGCGGCGCCCTCTCGAGAACCGAAAACGGACAACTCACGAACCGACGTGTCACTGTTGGGGGTTCTGTCCACCCCCGATATAGTCGGGTCGGGCGAAAGGGGGGGATAGCAAAGGGGGGGGGGGAGAAGCAGCTCGCGTAGCTGATTTTCCCGGCGCCTCCCGGCGCCAGAGGCGGCTATGCATCGAGGAATGGGCCTGGCGGCGGAGGCCGAAACCGGCTGCATGCAGCACATTTCGTAACCCCCCCTTTCCCAGTCCCCCCCTTCGCCCGGCCCGATACTGGCGAGCCAGGACGCTTCGCCACTGCTTGAGAGACAGGGGTTGGCGGCGCGCAGAGGGGGGTGGGGGAGGGGGGAGGGCTTCTTAGAAGCAGGCTGCTTCTCAGAAGGCGCCGGCCTTACGTCTATAGATAAGGCCCGCGCCTTCTAAGAAGCAGCCTGCTTCTAAGAAGCC